TAAATGCCTACACCAGGTAAAAGGAAACAAATAACAGACCAATAATGTGACAAAATTTTGACACTGACATCACTTGAAGTCATTTAGACAAAGTAGTGTTCTCTGGGGATGGAAAAACAATGTTATTAGGCACAAACCAAATGTACGTGGGCTAACCACAATTCAACCTTGCGTCATTTTCAATGACTGTTTTTTATCTCAAACTGGTATAATTACACGGAAAAAAAAAATTGCTGAGTCAGCTAATATATTGACTGGTATCTGGACAGATAAGCACATAAACTTCTGTAACCACTATATTGTCTTCTCTAATCAATCATTGGCTGTGCCAGTCAAAGATAAGTTGTATGAAGTAATGATTTGCCTGCATCAGTAAGGTGGACCTCGACTGATTTAGGTAAGGGATAAGCTCTTACAGCTAATTTTTGACTGGCACAGCCAATGATTGATTAAAGTAGACAATATAGTGGTTACAGAAGTTTATGTGCTTGTCTGTCCAGATACCAGTCAATATATTAGCTGACTCAGCGAATCTTTTTTTTCCGTGTATGTTTCTCTTATTATTTTTTAGTTTGCTGCCTAACAAAAAATTACCCCCTCAAACAATTGATTTTTCGTACAAGACGTTAAGTGTTGACTCTGATAGTAAAAAATACTGTCATCAGCCACGAGATGTTTAGAGCATACTGACCTTCCTACAGCTTGGGCACTTCCTCCCAATCTCAGGATTTTCAACACATTCCTTACAAATGGTATGTCCACAGGGTAAGCACTTAGGACAGTGGGAGTCAAGGTCAAAGTTGAGGAAACAAATATCACACTTCAGATTCATCTACAACACAAACAAAAAGGAGTGTCTTGATCATAATAAATATATAAATATATATAACGTACTCTAGTCGAGGAACGCAAGATTGAAGATCTTGAAACAAAGGTAAAACCTAAACGTCTTCCTATAACCACAAAAGTAACTATACATAGGACTTACTTTTCTACGAGTATCTGTTCTGCGTACCGCGAGTAAGATGAATGCAATGATGGGCCGTCCAAACCGTCTCCAGCACAAGCAATAGGGAAACTATCATAGGCACTGCAGTATTAAAGTTGAACCAGTAAGAAGTTCTCTGAATAAGGTTAAGTTGTTTGCTCGCTCAGCTGCTATCCCCATTTGTTTTGGTGTACACAACAGGGCAGCTTCCAGACAAAGAGTGACGTCAGCCTACGGAACAGCCGAGAACGACGCTCAAGATACATAGATAGATGCTGGGGGAATACCCGACACACGCACTGACGCACGTTCAGATACATATTGCTACTGCTTAGTGTGAGACTAACACTCCTTTACATGTATGATAAACTGCTCACACCAGCAGTTCGCACCGCTGCAAACAGTAGAACAAAGTTCCTGATGTTGTTTGAGGGTTGAGGAATTCTACCTACCCGACCACCGATGCATGTTTACCAGTTTTAACAGCGGCAATTTTGTTCTACAAAGAAAATCAAATAGTGCTCCAGGCAGCCTAGGGAATCATACAGAAAGTACTGCAACCGTCATTCGCCGCTACCAACCTGCCAAAGCTCAGCCCATGCAAGCTCAGAGCGCCTGATGGGTAGGCAACATCTTGCCTGCAGTGCATGCGTGTGCTGCGGGGTGGCCTACCCCGAGTCTCGCAGGCGCCGAGCTTCCGCATGTTTTGCCGAATGAATCTTTTAAACACAGACTTACTTTTTGGACGATCCCCAACACCCCGGAGCAAAAATTAGTCATACTCGAGGAGTGTGGAACTGGCCAAAAAAATTAGCCCACAGGACTAAGAACAGGCCACAGAGCTCCCATGGAGGCGTGACTCGCAGACGCCTGTCTGTGCGGCGGCGCAGGTCGGGTTGGGCCCGGCAGGCCGGCAGCCCGGCCTCCGGGACATGTGTCTGGGAGGTTTATGGGCGACAAAACTTGGCGGAGCGCAATAGAAAAGGTCTGGCGAGCAGAGTGTGATGAGGTGGGGGGACAGAGGGGATGGGGGGTCTACGGCCATCAAGAGGTGGATCGCGCGTCTCTCGCAGCTACCTGGGCGGTGGCGTCGCAGAGCTTGTTTGTCACTTTGTGCTTGCCCCACTTGCAAAAAGTTCCCCATACTTCCTCTCCTCCTACCACTTCCTCCCCCCCCCCCTCTCACTCTCCGGAATAAGCGGGAGGCGCAGGCCGTAACTCGCCCGCCGCGCCCGGGGGTGTTCGTCTCGGACGATTGTTTTTCTCCGTCAACAGTGACACGGTGAAGGGCTAGCGGCGAAGGTGACCTACCGCTTGATCAACCCCTCCCCACATCTATCTCCTACTCTCTCACTCTGCTCTCTCTCTCCCTCTCTCTCTCTCTCTCTCTCTCTCTCTCTC